AAATAGTTTAATTTATTTTATAGCTTAAATAGAACGTTTGTTATTGATTCTGTTTAGGAATGTGCTTGACATATATACGCATATGATAATAAATATATATCGATATATATCTGTATATTGTATCTATATTCCATATATAAACCTTCGGGCAGTTGTCGTTCCAATAGATCTATATATAGGGAGAGCTATATAAACTAGATGAGCACATCACAATATGGATATACCAGAAAGCTAGTTGGATACAGTGAATAGAGCTGAGGCACGCACCGTCGCTTACAGTGAATACTGAATAAGAGAGAAATACTAATTAGACGAACGGCGAACTCAGCTGGGGTTTCGGATGATGCATCACTAATAATTATTATAATAAGGCATACGGAAACTAATATTTAAATTAATTTTTGGCACATTTCGCAAAAGAACTTGAAGAAGACGAAGAAGAAGGAGAAAAAGAAGTTGATATCTATATGCATCTATATAGAAATAATCATTATGCATTATATAGCCTTGATCGAGGCGCCGCTTTAGAAATTCTCGCCGCTAGCTACAATCGAGTTCAATCCTCCCAGCTGCTGGTGCGCGTCTGCGGATCGATTGAGGGGGAGTACGACTTGTAGGTGTCCGATGCCCGCTTGTGCTTCACGGTGCAGAACAGCAGCATCGAGGTGATCAGCCCGAACAGCTGCACGAAGGCGATGCCCAGCCCGATGGCGCCCACCACGTTCAGCTGGCCGTTGAACCAGTTCTGCAGCGAGTGGGCGCAGCCCTTGTCCCACCACAGCGACGGATTCTCCGACCGTCCGCAGTCCACACGCATCGCGCCCAGCCCGTCGCCGGAGCCCTCCGTCAGCAGTTGGCGCTGATCGTACAGCTGCCGGCAGCAGGAGTCGGGCACCCAGCGCTTGCCGCTCCATGACTGAATGTCGTACCAATCCTCAAATGACGAGACGCCGCAGCATTCAAACTGTAAGAGAGAGAGAAAGAGAGAGAGAGAGAGAGTGAAACAGTTGCCTTTATCGACATACTCTATTCGCAAATGTGGTGGCTTCCTAGCAAAAGAGTCAGCTCTTCGCGACTCCAAAACTGTATATCCCAGTGGCTCTACAACTGTTATGACTACTGTAAACCACTAGTTAAGCACTGTTTAGCTTCGTAGTTCCACAGCCAAAAGCTGTAATGCCCTCGTTCCGTAATGACTTTCTATCCGTATACCATTTTGCTCCACATATTTTTCGTGTCAAAGTTTTCTACAGAATTTTTTAGTCAATGTAGGCCTTTGCTCCACTCAAAAAGGAATACGTACGTGAAATTTGATAATCGTAAAAATGTATACCGAGAGCACCAGATGGTTTCTAATTGTAAGATTAGCCGCGGCTCTAAAATAATATTATTATCGCCATTAAGTGATTTTCAAACGGTGGCCTGCCGTCCGGGATCCTTTCGTATCAGCCAGAGCTAAGAACCTTACAATTCGTTGAGAGAGTCTGATGGTTTTCAAGCTCTACAATTCAGGTCTTAGCTTATTAATTGCTTATTAATTAGCTTATTGTTAATTTATCGTTAACATATTCATGCTATGAACCCATTGAAAATGGGCAATCAGGGTATAATGGTATTCTTGATCAGGGCGACGAGTCGAGTCGATTTAGCCCTGTCCGTCTGTCCCTATGTTTGAACGCGTCGATCCCAGAATATATAGGAGCTTGATATATATATATATTTTTTTCCCAAATATTTGCCATAAGCTAACGCTGTTGCTATTGTAGAATCCCTTCTCATATAGTAGGTAACAGATGGAGTAGCCATTCTCCACTTAGCCCCACTCCCACATAGCGAATAGAGTATAGAAATATATATGTATGTTATATATACAGTAAGAGAGAGAGAGAGAGAGAGAGAGAGAGAGAGAGAGGGAGAGAGAGAGAAATAACTCACCGACTGTTGAACGCTGTCCCATATGGCGGCCACAGATGGCGCCACCAGGGAGCCCCGATCGCTGGCATTATAGTGACGCTCGATGCCGAAGCGCAGCTCGTTGGCCAGGGTGCGTCCGAGGCCGCCGCGGAAGAGGAACGCAATGGAGCCGACGAGGAACTCGCTCATGAACAGCATCACAATCAGCATGAAGTACTGCAGTGGACAGCCGATTAGATTACAGTACGCCCTCGATATGGCTGTCGCCCCTTTGCACTTACCAGCACGAGCAGGCAGCGCGACTGCACCCAGGCGCCGCAGCAGCCGAAGAAGCTGACCACAAAGCCGATGCCACCGATGCACATGAAGATCGTGTCCGCACTGAGGCCCGCATGCTGCGGCAGCAGCGTTGCGTAGCCCTCGTAGCTGAGGCGCAGCCACAGTCCAGCGCCGAGAAAGGCGCAACTGCAGAGCTGTAAGCAAATTAAGATAAAACATATCGATAATTATCGCTAGCAAGCGTGCGATGTAAGGCATAGAAGAGTAGATGAGTGATGGTAGGGAGAGCGATAACCTGATTATCGGCATACGATTGCAAAGGATGTCAAAAACGGGCACAATTTATCGATAATAGCCGATTTCAAGTGAGGGATATGGGAGAAGTAAATGAGAGATGATGAATGGCGGGGTGGACAGGGAGTTAGGCAGAGGGAAAAGATAGCTATTGGTAAACGAATGCGAAAGATAGTAATAAGAGATATAATTTATCGATGATAATCGATAGCGAGTAACGTATGGAAAGGCGTCGAAAAGGGAGAGAGGGGCATACGATAACAATATATGCCAATTATCGATAATAATCGATAGCAAGTGTGGGATGAAAGGCATTAGAAAGAAGAAGATGTGAGACGATGATTGATGGAAGAGCTAGGGAAGGAGGCCGATAAACTTATAATCGATAAATGGTTCCATTGAAAATGCAGCAACAGCTGCTGTAACAGCCTGTTGCCTAACAAAAGAGAGAGAGAGAGAGGTAGAGGGAGAGAGAGAGGTAGAGAGGATGGCAGTGAGACAGAGATAGCGCTAGAGAGTTTGTGAGACAATGGAACAACTTTGACGTTTCCGCTGCAGACGCTGCAGAGGCTGAGAACTTTTAGCCGGCGTCGCATCGATTTGGTGTATTGTTGTCCATTGTTGTTGCAGATGTTGTTGTTGTTGTTGTTGTTGCAGCAACAACAGCATATCCGGCCCTGGCCGCGTTGTCAGCTGGTTATACGAAAAAAAGAAATATATTTAAAGCTAAAAAAACTCACCCACAAAATGATGTTGAGCCAGCAAAAGGTGCGACGGATGCATGTGTAGCCGGCGTTGCCCATCTTCCAGCGAGCAGCTAAAGAGAGAGAGAGAGAGAGAGAGAGAGAGAGGGAGGGAGAGGGTTAAAGAGAGTATGCAAAAGGGAGATAGAGAAACAGAGAGAGAGAGAGAGAGTATGCATAAATCAGGCGCAGACTTGAACGCGCGTTGCGCTGCATTCATTAGATACATTTGTATCTATTAAATGCGCGCTTTTTTCGGATATCACTGGGAACAAATGTATGTGTGTGTGTGTGTGTGTGTGCTGTATAAATAAATTCTAATTCATAAATTTCAACAAATTATTTCTGTTTGTCTCATTTTTCCATTGTATTTCCTTTGCAGCGATGTAACTGGATAAATGCCAGCGGGAGCTATATGAATATATATTATATAAAATATTTATATATATATATGCATGTATGTATGTATATATAAATATATATGTATATGCATGTCTGTATATATTAAGCAATTGGCTAGCCGCAAAAATTGCAGCTGTTGCATATAGATACACACACACACACACACATACATATGTAAAGCTTAATAAATTGACGACTTACAACAACAACAACAACCACTGCGATTATTATGAAATTCTACAGCTCAAATTACAGAAAAACAACAGCAGCTACGGGGGGCATTACTTGGATCAGAGGGAATACGAAATAAACCCATTTGCTTACTCGTTTTCTCCAGCTGCGTCTAGTTTTTCATTTTTTCTTTCTTTCTTATTTGCCTTAAATAGTAAGCGTAGGTCAGTCGAATCACAGTTGACCCCAAATTCCAATTGAATTGTTTAGCTTACATTAGATTTACAATAGAGCCAGAGAGAGAGAGAGATAGAGAGAGAGAGAGAGAGAGAGAGATAGAGATAGAGAGTGAGGGGAAGATAGAGAGAGACTTACTCTGACCTAAGCTTGACTAGCAACATAAAACTAATTATAGCTAGACAAATGAATTGCTCGGGACTAGGCACTGCCCAGTTAAGCAGACGAAAGGCGGGAGCTAATCGACTATAAGATAAGATAGACTTAATAGAGACCAACATTTTCCAGATTTTTCGGGAAATGGGCAAATTTTGAGGGTTAGAAGAGCGAAAAAGATAAAGACGTAGAAAGAGACGAGAATATATACAGACAATTCTAGATATAGAAACCAAATAGGGAAAATCTATGGACTATATATGAATATAAGAAACGATCTAGATACGATAGTCGAAGATGAAGAATTAAAAGGTACATATGGGAAATACCTATATAGAAGTCCKATAAATAAATAAATTTGAGCAGATATCTTATAAGAGATATAAGTAGAGATTTGTGGAACTCATAGCTGTTCCAGTTTTAGCTATAGGTAGTTTTACCTACTCTAATCCTTAAAAAGCATTTCTATGAGAGGTTTCGCTATACGAGCTAGAGGGGTTATGAATTGTTTATAAATATATCTGTATAGAGTTAAATAAGTCCCTATATAAATATAAATATAAATCAATATAGATTTGGTATATTATAGATATAGCTATAGATAGATCAACAGATAGCCAGGCAACTTTGGTTACAGTTCATGTACATGCATAAAAATGTATATAAAAAGATATTTTAAAGTGGTATAGCCCAAAGATGCATTCCTAAATTGGCTAAACTTTCAAGTACTTAACTGAAGTCTTAGGATAGACAATATGAAAAGTTACTCAGGCCGAGAATTCTCCGTCTCGATAACAGCTCGACATGATTCCTTGAGATATCATTGCGGCACGAATGTTTTGCCATGCTGCTAATTGAGTTAGAGGCAGAGACAGAAGCAGAAGTGGAGGCAGGGGTAGAGGCCGGGGTAGAGTCAGAGGTAGAGGTAGAGGCAGAGACAGAAGCAGAAGCGGGGGTAAAGGCAGAGGTAGAGGCAAAGATAGTGGCAGAGGCAGAAGCAGAGGGAGAAACAGAAACAGAAGCCGAGGTAGAGGCTGAGGTAGAGGCATAGGCAGAGACAGAAGCAGAAGCGGGTGTAAAGAGGTAGAGGCAGAGATAGAGGCACAGGCAGTGGCAGAATCAGAAGTGAGGTAGAGGCTGAGGTAGAGGCCGAGGTAGAGGCTGAGGTAGAATATATCATGGAAGTGGACAGGCAAGGGCACAGCTGCAATCAGTTTTCATTAGAGCAAAAACAAGTGGAGCATTCGCGGCAAAGGGGTGGTCGGCTGGAGGGGGCGTGGCGGTAGCGAGGGCGAAGGCGAAGGCGAGGGCTAGTCAAACGAAAATCGCGAGCACGCGCCAAGGAAGCAGCAACAAGTGTCAAGCAAACGTGTTGCATGCAACAACTAGAGCAACAGCAGCAACCGTCTAACCCAGCCGACTGCTCACAATAATAATGATGATAATAATGATGATGATGATGACGATGATGACGATGATGATGATGTTGCCTCAATGAAATAGTTGCAAATAATGCGCAACATGGCTTGGGGGCCACAGTTGAGCTGTGCGACAAGTGCGAACAATTGCTGTGCGCAACAACAACAGTGACAACAACAGCAGCCGCAGCAACAACAACAACAGCAGCAACAACAACAACAACTGTCGCTCGCTTATTTTTCAATTTAACTCAATAACGCGACGGACTTAATGCCATTTGGCGCTGGAAATTTGCGATTTACTTATGCCCACTGCCACGCCCACAGTCACAGCACTGCCCACTTCAACTAGCAACTATCTAGCTACGTGTGTGTGTGTGTGTCTGTGTTTGTGTTGGTGTGCGGATGTGCGAGAGTGATTTATGTGCACACATCAAAAATTGCCCAAATGCCGCTGCCATAGTTCAGAGATCTCAGAGTTGCCAAAGCTGTCAAAGGGTTAGAGCAGAGAGGGGGAGGGGGGGGGGGGGGTTGTCGAGTGCTGGACAAGCCAAGGGGTGAGAGTGTGAAGGCAACGAGGGAAAGTAGCTGTTGTTGTTGCTGCTGCTGTTGCTGGTGTTGCTGTTGCTGCTGTTTCTGTTGCTGCTGTTGTTGCTGTTGCTGGCGTGTCCTGTGTTGCTATGTGGAAAGAGATGCTATATATTGAGTTTATATTGCTCTTGCTGTTTGCTGTGTCCTGTATTGCTGTGGTGCAAGATAGCTGTTGCTGCTGTTGTTGCTGCTGTTCAGTATAATAGTGGGACACGCTAAGGAGAGAGAGGGTGAGAAAGAGAGAGAGAGAGAGATGGGCAAAGGAGTTTGAGTAGAATGACAGTTAGTGCAAAGCAACTAGTGTTGCTGTTGCTGTTGCTGTTGCTGTTGCTGTTGCTGCTTTTAGAGGTGTTGTTGCTGTTGCTGTTGCTGATGCTACTCTACCCTGAATTACTATGTGTAGAGGGAGACACTGAAATGAGCTCTTGCCATTGCTATTGCTGTTACTAGTGTTGCTGTTGTTGCTGCTGTTGTTGTTGCTCTTGCTGCTGCTGTTGATGTTAGTCTGTTTGTCTGTTGCTGCTAGCATGTCCTGTATTGCAGTGAGGAAAAGGAAGTTTCGCTGCTGTTGTTAGCTGTTGCTACTGCTGCTGGTATATCCTGCATTGCTGTGCACAGCATGAAAAAAATGAGCTCTAGCTGTTGCTGTGGTTGCTGCTGTGGGGAAGATGGCCATGGTACAGAGAGTGTATATAGAAAGGGGGAAAGGGAGAGAGAGCTAGATAGAAGTAGAGTGAACGAGACAGAGAAAATATCAAAGAAGTTTGAGCGGAATGACAGTTAATACAAGAGAGGTGATGTTGCTGTTGCTGTTGCTGTTGCTATCGCTGTTGCTGTTGCTGTTGGCACTGTATTGATGTGTGTATACGCAAAGAGCTGAAATTAGCTCTAACTGTTGCCGTTGCTGCTGTTGTTGCTGTTGCTGCTGTTGTTGCTGCTGTTGCTGCTATTGATATTGCTACGATTGTTGTTGCGATTTATGCCAAATATTGCTACTGCTGTTGGACAAACACAGAGGAAGCGCAAACAGTGAGCAGAGTGACAGTTAACCGGAAGTTGATGCTGTTGCTGCTGCTGCTGCTGCTGCTCCATGCTATTGCCTATGTTGCTGCTGTCAATGCTGTTGCTGTCATTTGTATTCCTCTATCAGACGGAATGTTTGAGCGAAAGGACAGCGCATTCGCTCAGCCTGAGGCAACTGCTCTCGTTGCTGCTGTTGTTGTTGTTGCTGTGTGTTGTTGGCAATTGCTGATAAGCGAAAATTGGATTGCGCCGGAAGTTGAGTAAAATGACAGCACATTAATGCATTATGAGACGAGCAATGTCTATGATATTGCTGTCAGACGAAAGGATAGAGCAGCAGCAATATATTGATTCTATAGCAACTGTTGCTGCTGCTGCTCCTGCTATTGTTGCTCCTGCTAGTGTCTTTATTGATAAATGAAGTTCGTAAAAGGATAACAAAGCGCATGTTGCTGGCAGCAGTAAATGTTGCTGTTGTGCCTGCTGCTGCTGCTGCTCAGCATGTTGTTGCTGTTGCCCATATTGGAAAGTAGTCAAAAGTGAACTTTGAGAGCTAACTAAGAGCAATGGCAGCAGATGTTGCTGTTGCTGTTGTTGTTGCTACTATAATAACTATTGCTATTGATGTTGCTGCTGCTGCTGCTCCTGCTGCTGTTGCTGTTGCTGCTTAAGCTGTTGAAGTTGCTGCTGCTCTTCCTGTTAGTATTGTCGCTGCAGCAGCACATATTGCTGCTGTTATAGAAAGTTGAGGCAAACGTACAACATTATTTTCAATTGCTGTTGCTGCTGTGCTGACTAAAGCAACAGCTGCTGTTGCTGCTGCTGTTGTTGCTGCTGCTCTTGATGCTATTGTGTCTGTTGTTGTGCAACAGGCAAACTATCTAAGCTGCTCTAAGACGAAATCTTTTGCTGCTGTTGCTGCTATCAAAGCTGCTGCTGTTGCTGTTGCTGTTGTTGCTGCTGCTGCTGCTGCTCATTTTCATGGCCAGCAATTGTCGTTTTGGCTCGCTAGACCGCATTTCGCAGACATTTTCACTGGCGCTTGACCAGCCGCCAAAGTTGTTGCTGCTCTGGTTGTTGTTGTCAATGTTGTTGCTGCTGTTGTTGTTGTTGTAAAAAGTGTCGCGCTTTACAGCAAAAAAAAATAATAAGAAGAAAAAAGTTTTCTCTTTTTTTGCGCCGTCTCTTGGCTCTGCTCAAAGCGGGCCAATCTATGGCCATCTATCCGGCTTGAAGTTGGTTTATTTTCTTTGTTGTTGTTGCTGTTGTTATTTTTAAGAGCTTCACTTTGACGACATCCCCCGTTCAGCCTCTACCCCCACCCGCCAGCCAGGCCTGCCTGCCGCCCCCTTCGGCTTTTGTACATTTCTTTTCAGTTGCAAATTACTTCAAGTTGTTGGGAATCTGGTTTTGTGTGGCGGCAACTGTTGCTGCTATTGCTATTGCTGTTGCTGTTGCTGCTGTCAATAAACTGTGCAAGCAGCTATTTTGTTGTTGTTATGGTTGCTTCTGCTGTTGTTGTTGTTGTTGTTGTGTCTCTAGAGCTCGCATAATAAATAAATAAATATTTACAATAAATAAACTTGAAACGCGGGCGCAACAAGTGAGCTGCATAAATATCAGCAGCACATGCTTAACTAAAGCTACATGTACATGATTTCATACACACATGCATACAGATATATGTATATATAGTCTATATATATTGGCAGCACATACTTTTTGTTTTTATAACGCTTCGATGTTCGTTCGCAACACAAAAATAATAACAAATGTCACAGCAAAAAAAATTTCAAAAAAACAAAAAAAAAACACTCAACAAAAAAACTATAAAATATCAAAACACTTTTACATATATTTTGTACGCTTTTGTGAATTTTTTAAATATTTTTTAAAAATTAGTTTACTTCAATTCTCTTTTTTCTTTTTTTGCTTGTTTTACAACACTAATAATTCGTTAGGCAAATGCAGCAGAGCAAAAAAAAAAAAAATATTTGAATTTAATTTACATTTATTATTTGTTTAATTTCTTGTTATATTTTTGATTTAGTTAAATTTATTTATATTTATTGTCCGCTGCCTCGACGCGTGCTGCTGCTGCTGCTGCTGCTGTTCGTTCTATGCGCTCGCAGCGACTGTTCAAAATCGACTGAAAATTGTAAACTGAAAATTCTTCGCCGTCGACGTTAAAAATAGTCACAAAACACGCACGAGAGACGGCGAAATGTTGCTGCAGCTGCTGCCACAATGGAGCATGTTGCAAGCTCTCGCTCGCTCTCCCTCTCTCTCTCCCTCTGTCAGTCTCTCTTTCTCTCGCTCTCTCTCTCTCTCTCTGGCGTACGCCCGTTGCATACTTATGAATGGGATTTATGTTTAGGTTTTCAGTGTCACGTTTTGATCCACATTTCAGAGACAAATCGAGCAGAGAAACGGCCCATAAAACCGAATTCTACCAAAAAATACAAAAAAGTGCCTATCCGATATATTAAATGCTATAAACAGCCATAAATCGCTATAAAATCGCGCATACGCCTCGTTGGACGAACAAATAAATTAGCCTAAAACAAGAAAATGGAAATTCAAATGGAAATGGAAATGGAAATGAGATKGTGAATGGGACGCAGCAGCAGCGGCTAGACAAGTGCTGTAATATAATTTAAGAGATTTGTTTAATAAACAAATGCCAACTGCGTGGCAGGGTGTATACGACTAGAAGATGCCCTGTCTGACAATAAACAGATGCCGGCCGCATATTCTAATCCAGTTATAGTTTTTCATTTATTTTGACCAGAGCACCATAATTTTCTTGTGTGTACGACTAGCAGATACCCTGGAAAATCATATTTATTTCTTATAACGCTTATTGTGACCTTTAGATGAGCGTCTATTGAAAGTTTATTAAAACTAGATCTCATACAGCCATTAAAAATAAGCGTATACGACTAGAAGATACTCTGTAAGCCACATAACATATATGCATACCCTTTTGATGAGGTTCTTTTGAATTTATATTAAATTTATGCTTAATATGTATTCTTGTTTTAATTTTTGAGTTTATTCAATTAATAATATTACATTTAAAAGTTTATAGGAAATATATGACTTATAGATACTCTGTAAAAATAAAGAATCAAGCAGTTGATGAATGTAATACTTACATGTGTAGACTATGTGTGATCTAATATGTTGCCTTATAAGAGGCATCATGATGAGTATACGACTAGAACATACCCTGTAAATCAACAATTGGTGTATATGAAATATGTAAAGTTATATATATA